CAGCCCAGCCTGGCTGGGTGGCACAGCTAGCCTGCACCCACCTGAGCCTTGAGGATGCTGGTGGTCCAGTCCCACAGCTCAGCCTGTCCCGAGCACACCAGGTACCTGCAGAGGAGCCAGCTGAGAAGCCTCCACAGAGCAGGGCCAGTGGGGCCCATGTCCCTTTGTCACCTTGTCTGTGAGCCTGGGACTGTCAGGCACAACTACCCCCAGTGAAGCTGGCACCTCCAAAACTCTCTGCCTGCCCAAATCACTGCTTCAGGGCAAGGTGAGAGCTCGTTGGGCACCCATGAGGCACCCTAGTCCTTACTGCTCTTGGAAGAACATCTCAGCCCCATATCAGGGCAGGTGATGTGCTCCAGCTGCTGCCCCAGCATCGGCAGTGTCAGGGAAATGGGGACAGGAGCAGCAGGATGCAGGGCTGTGCCTGGGCACCCAGCAGTGCCGGGGAGGCCAGGGCAGGGAGCCCAGCTCTGGGCAGGGTGCAGGAGCAGCTGATGTTGGGTGCATGGGGACACAGAGAAGTGCTGGGTAAAGGCTGGCAGGCAGCACAGCCACGCAGGTGACACGCACACCTGGGCAGGGTGGGCAGCTCCCTATGCAGCCTGGTGCTGGGTGCTTGAAGGTGTATCTCCCAGGGGTGCTGATGTGGATGGGGAGGTAAGAAGGGTGTGTGGTTTGGAGATGGGTTGATCCTGGAGCCTGGTGCCCACCTTGTGCCAGGGAGCATGTGGCCCCAGTCCCCCAGCCAGCCACCAGCTCTGCCCTGACCCCCCTGTAGCACTGCTCCTGCGTGTCCCAGTCCCACTAAAACTGGGGATGGGTCTCAACATCCCCCAGCCTCAGGACATCAGAACAGATACTCACAGCTGCTGCTTATCCAAGGTCAGTGTGAAACCCCACCTGGGGAAAGGAAGAGACAGGCTGTGGGACAGCACCACCAAGCTCAGACACAGCCCAGGGCCTGTGGGCAGTGGGGCGTGGGGTTGAACTCGACCCATGGGCCCGAACTCGACCCATGGGCCCAGGCTTGTCAAAGCTCTGGGTTTCGGTGGGGCTTGGCATGTTCCCAGCAGCTGGGTTGGCATGTTGGGGACAGGGACTGAGGGATGCATGCTCCAGGGCCACAGCCAGGGAAGGTCCCACTTACTGGGCTGGTGGCTTCAGTTTCTTCCTAATGCCCATGTAAACCTTCGCTGCATCCAGGGGCCACTCACGCTCTGGCTTGGAGCTCTGGGGAAGGAGATCCATCGGGTCAGCCCAGCTTGGTGCCAGCCTTCCTGCCAGGAGGACAGCCACCACCGAGCCACCACTGTCCCCAAGTTTCCCCTCCAGCCCTCAGGGTACAGGTCCATCCCTGCTCCATCCCCTGGGTACCCTCTTCTCCTTGAGCAGCAGCAGCCTCCGGTCCCGGATGACGAAGTACCGCTCCTGAAACTTGTTCCCCAGCAGCTTGGGGGGCTCTTCACGGCATTTCAGCAGCCCGCACTTGGGGGTCTCACGCTTGGCGCCTGCCCAGGGGGGAGGAGATGGGGTTCAGGAGGGCTGGGGACATGTGAGCGTGACTGTGGGTCTCAGGGATGTGACCCACATGGCTGTAGGGTGGTGGCCAGGGCAAGGGGAATCTGGGACAGAGCTATTCCCCTCTGGGAACACCCCTATGGGCTGGGACACTCTGTTACTGCCTTACCTGTGAAGAGACAGCTGCCCTCACCAATGGGGACCTTCTTCACCAGCAGGTATGCAGTGCTGGGCTCTGGGAGCTTGCACCACTGCAAAGCCTGCTCCAGCACCTTCTCCTTGGGGTGCAGGGGCCGCTCTGGGGAGGCAGGGACACTCTCACCGCTGTGTCTCCTCCACTGTGCCAGTGCCTGTCCCCCCTGCCAGCAGCAGCAAGCCAGCCCTTATGCCCCACATCTCCTCCTCACCAACCTAGTTTTTCCAAGAGCATCCCCCCTGTGCCGTCCCTACCATGCTTACCCAGCTCCCCGTTCTCCAGGGCCTCAAAGGTCAGCCAGATGTCCAGGCTGGCCGCTACGCTGCGCATCTCCAGCACCTGGTTGGTGAGCTCCTCTGCCGTCATCGTAGGGGACACCTGGGGCCGGACACACGGGGAGCTGCAGTGGGTGGTGGCAGGATGGGTCCCAGGGACAGGCTGTGCCAGGAGCCTGCATCCCTCCTTGCTTCCTCCAGCATGGACTCACCTTCAGAGTGACACAGCAGTCAGGTAGCTTCTGCTCCAGGTAAACCTCAATGATGAGGTCCCCTGCCTGTGAGAGCTGGGGGAAGAGCAGGTGGCATTGGTGCCATGCTGGCATAGGTGCTGTGCACATCCCCTCTCCCCAAGGGCTGGAAATGGTGTCCCAAAGAGCTGGGGCTACTTCTCCCCTGGGAAGGAGTCTCAAGGGGATGGGTGAAGTGAAGACAAGTTGGGGAAGGTCCTTCCTTCCCCAATATCTGATGTGGGACAGTGGGGACCCAGGGTGGTCAACTGGGAGTATCCCCATCCTCCAGGCAGTCCCAGCAGCCCGGGAGTCCCCGATGTGGTGAGGGTTGGCCAGCACATCCCTCGTACCTGGGTGTCCTTCCAAGTGGTGATCAGACTGTTTTCCAGATCCATCTGGGAGACCTGATCCTCATCAATCTGCCAGATGAAGGGTGCATGGGTTGAGAGAAGAGACACATGTGGTCAACACACAGCAGGATATGGCTTGAGGACACAGGGCCAGGACAGAGGGATGCACAGGGAGGCAGGGGTGAGCAGAAGGGAGGAATACAAGGGGAGATAGACAAAGCCATTGTGGAGGGGGCTGGCAAGGCCCCTTCAGGGAGCTTACATTAAAGATGCTGACATAGTTGTCAATGAGGTCTTCCATCACCTTGACCTCGTGCTCCCCTTTGCCATCAGTCTGGAAAAGGCTGGGTGCGAAGAGCAGCGACAGGTTCTTGGTGCTCATCTGGTTGAGGTCTGCACATTTCTGCACCCTGGGGCAAGGGGCACAGGGGTGAGGGGCTGGCCCCACTCTGGATGGAGTTTCAGCCCCAGCCACCCTCCTCTGCCTCATACAAACTCGTCTGAAAACCAGCCTGTTTTTACCTTGCTCCCCAGCTCCCCAGGAGTGGGAACTTCAAGCTGGGCAGTTCCTGTTTCAGGACTTCCAGTTGTCATGAAACCAGACAACAGCCCCACCTCATGCTCTGAGTCAGAGATGGGAATTTGTTTTTTCCCCTCCGTTTTGGGCACTTGTGAAGTTTATGTCCTATGGTGGGGTGTCACCTACTCCTGAACATCCTCCCAGTCTCTCCTGCTGCGAGACAACTTTGGTAACATTTGGGGTGTCCCAGAGCAATGTGCTCCAGCAAACCCCAGCAACTGAACTGGGGGGCTGGTGGGTCAGGGCATGGGCACTGGGCCCTTCCTGGCTCACAGTGATGGGAGCCAGCATTCCCTGGGCAGTGGGGAGACCCCACACTGCTGTCTGGCCTTGGGGACCCTGGTTGGACGAGGGGACCCTGCAAGGAGGTGGCCCACTGACCGGTAGAGGTGCCCAATGAGCGCAGCCAGGGTCTTGCGGTTGAGGCGAGGCAGGCGATGAATGAGCTCCTTGTACCGCTCCAGGCGCTGGGGCTTGGAGGAGATTTCTGGATGGAGAAAAATTGGACCCAGAACTTGCTGAATGCAGCAGATCCAGAGCTGACATGGCACCAGGGCTGGCACAAAGGCACTGACCTGAGGGTCACTGGCCCCAGGGGTTCCTAGCAGGCAGCCCACGGAGGGAGCAGGGGTTGGGTGAAAAAGGAGGTACCTGCAGCCTCCTTCCACTGTGGGTGCAGCTCCAGGGTGAAGACAGGGTCCTCCAGCTCACGGAAGAACCTCTTCAGCACATCGGTGACATCCTCGATGAAATTGTCATTGATGCGCAACTTGACATTGCGGGCATCTCGCCGGAACTCCTCCATCAGTACCTTGATCCGGGACTTGGCTCCATTCTTGCGGTAAATTCCCTCATGCCGCAGCCCTGGGGCAGGGACAATGGGGTAACAGGGGCTCAATCCTGCCCAGAGATTGGTGCCTCTTGCCCAGACCCCTTGGCTGCCCTGTGTGTGCTGGAGGATGCTCTGGCTGTGCCAGACCATGCTGGGCTCACCATATTGGGTGATGAAGGCGATGCAGCTGTCCACGATGATGGGGATGTCTGCCCGGCTCATCTGCTGGTCCCGCAGCGCGTTACCTCGGCCCCCCGCCGATGCCTGGATGTCAGCGTACCACGCCGCCGAGTCCACCCGTGACAAGCCCTGCAGGTAAAATGTCCTGAGAACAACAAGGGCAGAGAAGAGGGAATGAAGGTTGCCGGGAGGGGCAGGTTGTCCCCCCCTGCCTGTACGCACAGCCTGGCACTGGGACAGGGACCATGGCACAGCCAGGATGAGTTGAGGGACACCCTGCCCTGACAAGAGACCCTGGCTGGGGTGACCTCTGTAAGCCCCTTGGCCACAGCCCTGCTGTCCCAGCAGCATCCCCACCACCAGTTTGGGGTCAGGATTGACCCACACACGAGTGCCGCTGCCCTGGGCAGCCTGCTGAGGTCACTTGGTTCTTTCCCATTATTTCCACTGCCGGGACTCACCGCCCCATCTCCACCAGGACCAGCAGCTCCTTCTTCTCTGGGGTCTCTGTGGCGGGAACCAGACCTACATTGGGGTGAGAAGTAGAGGGGTCAGAGCCATACATGACCATCCACCACCATGGTACCTGTCCTGGGCTGTGGCACAGCACTCACTGAGCTCCTGCAGCCGCCGGAGGTTGATGCTGTCCTCAACCCCATCATCCTCGGCAGGGCAGATGAAGAGGTGGGCTTTCTGCAGGATGAAGAAGGCTTGCTGCCACCGCTCGGGATTGAGCATGCACTTGTAGCGCAGCTGGCCCACGCGCTGGAACTCATAGCTCAGCAGGCAGTGACAGCTCACGGGTGTGAACCACTGCAGAATGGAGCAAGAGAGGAACCAGGTAAAGGCAGGGCTCAGCCCCTGAGCACAGGCCCCCACAAAGATGGGGGCAGGTCACTGGGGAGGATGGGAGCCC